ACACACTGTGGTAGTGAGTTCCACACTTTACCTATCTGCTGTGTGAAGAAGGACTTTCTTTTACCTCTCCAGAATTTCCCACAATGCAACTTCATCGGATGACCCCAGCTTCTAGCATTCTGAGAGAGAGAGAGCATTTCTGACTTATGGTGACTCTAAGGCAAATCTATCACAGGATTGTATTGGCAAGATTTGTACAAAGCAAGTTTTTCCACAGCTTTCCTCTGAGGCTGAGAGAGTATGATTTGCCCAAGGTCACCCATGGCCAGTTTCCATGGCCAAGCAGAGATGCCAACTCTGGTCTCTCAGTATCCTAGCCCAATGCTCAAACCTCTATGATATGCTGGCTCTCAGAATTTTTTTTGCCCTTCTCAATTTCCTCCTGCTGTACTTGTTTTCTCCTTATTTCTCTTTTTCAGTTTAACAGCCATGACCACTGTAACCTTTTCTCATAGACAGTTGCTTCAGTCCCCTGATCATTTTGGTTGCTGGTTCTGCATTTTTCCTAGCACTACAATATCTTTTTAAAGATGACCTATAATTCAAACTGTCTGGCTTGGGCTTGCATCCAGGTATTTCCAGTCTAGGTCTAACACCTTATATCCTGTGGCGAAGCTTTGCTCATTCCCCCCCCCCTTCTGCAGTCCCTAATGCTGAATCTTGGCACCCTAATAAAACAATTCTCAATGCATTGAGATAAAAACAGGTAAAAGGAAGAACTTCTTCACACAAATCATCATTAAGTTTTGGAATGTGCAGCTATGGGATGTAGTCATGGCTACTAGCCCAGACAGCTCTAAAAGGGGATTAGACAAATTCATAGAGGAGAAAAAGAGGTCTATCAAGAGCTATTAAAATTCCAAGCAACCATATTGACTCCCACACAGCAGATGTAAGTCTGAAGGGGCTCTGGAGAAAAATAAAGCCAAAATAACTATATAACACATTTCTATATTCACATTGGGTAGAGCCTGGAAGATTTCCTCTCGCTTAGGCTTTCATGTCCGGCATCCATAGCTTTTTTTGTGGGTTTTTCGGGCTGTGTGGACACACAACCCAAAAAACCCACAAAAAATATTTCCTCTCTCTCTTTTTTTGGTGGGTTCCTGGAATCCCCCAGCCAACATGACATGGCATGGTAATTCAAAACAGTAACTGATCTAAGTTCTGACATTGGGGATCCAGCTGAAGTACGTCATTTGCATTCATTTCATTTTAACCTCGACTGATTATCTTGCCGGCTTCCATTTTCTGATAAAATTATATTATGTGTGCTTTTAAAATTAATGTTGATAGTGAGCCTTTTCTCTTTACTCCACCTGTTTTGGTGAGTGAAGAATATCTGACGCGGAGGCTGTTGTGACAATCACCCTCTTGTTTCCTTTACTTGTCTGGAGTGAGAGGGACAAGCCTGCCACAAGCTGTACCCCAAGGTCTGTGATGGTCACTCGGTCTTCCAGAACAATCACGGTCTTCTCAGCCAAAATGGAATCAGAGAGAGGAGAAAGGACCTTTAAAAGAAGGAGAAGGAAAGAATGAGCCCAATTCAGTAGCTCTGAAAGTTGCAGTCATTACTTGCTTTTTACCTGTTGGAGTGATGAAGACGTAATTGATTCCGGTTACGCTTTACAAGGTTTCAAAGGGGAATGCGCTACTACTTACATTGCTTGTTATGTCCTCCTTCTTCGCAGATACTTTTTGCTACTTTTGCGGAGGAATCTCATGACTGAGAAGAGAATGGCAAAAACTGGGAGAAACGTCCGGACAGAATTGCTTTTGCAAGTCTTTAAATGTTCTTAAACAATCACGTAAAAAGGAACCGGAAAATATTACTTGCTATACCAGGGTTGGCAATGGACATTTTCACCCCTGCGCCTCTGCAGAGGGCTGCACATGCCACATTTTCAGAAAGGCAAAAAGGCAAAAAGTGTAACCTTGAAGTGATTGGAAGTTCAAATTTGAGTTTTACTTCAAGAGTTTGGGGATCAGGGAGGTTTAAAGGACATTGTTTACAACCCGGAATAATGATGCACCATTTGGGGATATTTTTTAGCATTTTTAAAAATTAGAGTGTGCCAAAAAAGTTTGGGTGCCCCATAAGGGCCAGAGATGATACATTCTCCACACGTGCATCACACCAATATCATACCCCCCCCACCTATCACAATTTGGCAAGGACAGTCCCTATCAATTCTCTGTTGTCCCACTTTTTTCAGCTGCTTTAAAAAATGTCCCAGTTTCTATCTCTTCCTCTCACTTTCTACCTTAGGCCTTAGCTTTCTACAGTTGCTGGAAACTGAGTTAAAATTGCAAAAGCAGCTTGTACTCGGTTTGCTCAAGAGGGGGAGTGGGCAGAATCTCACCCTTCCCAGTAGGCTCAGGGAAAAGCAAACTGCTGCAGCCTTCCTTAGCTTGAGTGTTCTCCCTCCTTAATAATGTGTGCCATCTTGACTACACTCTGATGTGGTTGGGCCCATGTGTCTCAGTTTTCATCTGTGCAATATTGGAGGGTATGCAATGTGGGGACTTTCTTACCATACTTGTTACCTTACACATTCTGATAGTTTTGAAATTGGACTACATTATGCCCTTGTTACTAAAAAAAAAAAGGGGGGGGGGAATTTGTTGCATGTAATTATTTGTGTAGGGCATGTGAAGAGTTCATATTAAAGAAGTAATGACCAAAGCCAAACAGTGAGTATCATGGCCAAGAGAGGATTTGATGTATGAAAGCTGAAACACATCACAGGACGTGAAAATCAGCTAGCTGGGAGAGACTCGGCATCTATCTAATTTTGCAGAAACCATGATCAAAACTGCAGTATCTTCAATATCGACGGAATTTTTATCCATGGGCTCAAGCATCCATGACTTGAAAATATTATATACATGCAGACACACAGACATTCCAAACAACAAACCTTGATTTTGCCATTTTATATAAGGGACACCATTTTACTATGCCATTGTATTTTATGGGATTTGCGTATCCACAGATTTTGGTATCCTTGGGAGGTCCTGGAACCAAACTTGAGCAGATGCCAAGGGCCCACTGTATATTGGTAGACCTCTCCTTTGTGCTCT